CTCAATCACTCCAATTAATGTCTGATTAGACTAATTCTAATGAATTTAGCACATCATTTCCATTAAGGTCTGATCAAACTAAAAAAATGACCCAATTTGTGTCATTTTGGGCCAATTAGAATTGTTATGGATAAATGGGCTTATTAACCTACTAGGGTCTAATCAGATTAACTATGACCCATTTATTGTCATTTTCATCCAAATGTCTCGATTACAACTAAGTAGGCCCAATATACCCAATGAGTGTACATGGACCCATCAAGGACCCTTAAGACATTCTACCCAACTACTCGTATTAACAACTAGTTAGACTAACTATGACCCATTTAGTGTCATTTGACCCATTTAGACTTGTTACAAAGGAAGGGTCCCATTAAAGGCATCAGGGTCTAATGAGACTATTTATGACCTAGTTGGTGTCATTTTGACTCAATCGGACTTTTTAACGAGAATTAGGCCCATCATATCCACTACCACCATTTGGACCCACTAAGGACCGTTAAGACCCATTCTGCCTCAATTACTCCCATTAACGTCTGATTAAATTGGTCATGGGTCTTCCATAAACTGTTGGACTTACGTATTCAGTTGAGGCGTTTTTTGGTTTCTCTGATTGGTGATGGTCGGTGGACTAATGCTTGGGAGGATTCTTGGTTACCCCGTGGTAATCTCTCGGCTTTTTTATCTTACAGATTTATCCATTCTTATGGATTCTCTACTGCCACTACTGTTCGTGAGCTGGTTTTACGGTTGGATGGTGTTTGGCCTACTAAGTGGCGTACCAGGTTTGCTGAAATTTGCTCTGCTCCTTTGCCTGTGTTGAATGATTCTGTTTGTGATTATGTTCTTTGGGAGGATAATAGTGCTTCTTGTTCGAAATTCTCGGTTAGTAAGGCTTGGGCTTCGTTGGAGGGAACTTATCCGGTTGTTTCTTGGTATAAATCAGTATGGTTCTCTGGCCACATTCCTAAACACGCCTTCTGTTTATGGCTTGCTTGTCATAAACGTTTGCCTACTCAAGATCGTATGCTTTGGAAGGATGAACCGCCTGATCTAAAATGTTCGCTTTGTGGAATTTTTATGGATTCCCACTCGCATTTATTCTATCAGTGTAACTTTGCGCATGAAGTTTGGGATAGTATCTTGCATAAAGTGGACTTGACGACCATTCCTTCTTCGTGGGATCATATTTTGGAGGCTATTTTTGATACTGATCGAAGATCGAGGAGCCTGAAGCAGAAACTTGCGGTGGCTGCGTCTGTTTACTATATTTGGCAGGAACGTAATAGAAGACTTTTTTCAGAGGATCGCCGGACATCTATGCAACTTATCAAACTTATTGATCATACTATTGCTACTCGTGCAGTTTGGATGGTAGGGCGAACTCAGGGTAATGCTATTTGATTTGAGTTTTCCTTTGTAGGCTTGGGGTGTTGTTTGGTCGTTTAAGCTCCTTTTCTTTATTTTTAGCTGTTTGTTTGGGTCTGTGGGGCTTTGTTTGTTTTGGCTTGTTGTGGCTTGGTATGATTTGGTGTCCAAGTCTTTTGGGGGTTTTGGCTATTGGTTGTGGTCAAATACTTAGTTGTTGGTTCTTTTTTTTTTTTTATGGTTTTATAAATTTGCTTGGTTTCCGTTAAAAAAAACGTCTGATTATACTAATTTTGAACCATTTAGTACCATTATGGCTCAATTAGACTCAGATAGGAGAAATAAGCCCATGATAACCATTAAGGTTTGAACAAACCAAATATGTCCCATTTAGGGTCATTTTGACCCAATTAGACTCCGTATGGAGAATTGGGCCCATCATTCCCATTAGGGTCTAAAAAAACTAATTATGACCTAGTTTGAGTCGTGTTGACCCAATTGGACTTCTTAAGGAGAAATAGGCCAATTATATCCACTAACACCAAATGGACCCTCAATCACTCCAATTAATGTCTGATTAGACTAATTCTGACGAATTTAGCACATCATATCCATTGTGGTGGCAGCGTCTTTTTATTATATTTGGCAAGAGCGGAATAGAAGACTCTTTACTGTGGATCGTCGCATGACTTCAGATCTTATCAAAGTTATTCATGATTCAATCTCCATTCGAGTGGATTGGTTGGCGCGTCGGCCTGTGTTAAATGTTGGTTGATATGGTGGATTGGTTTCGGTTTTGGGGGGCTTTGGAGTGTTTTAAGCTCCTCTTTTTTATGTTTTGTTGTGAGTTTGCTTCTTGTGGGCTTTGTTTATTTTGGCTTGTTGTGGCTTGGTATGGGGTGTTATCTGAGTCTGTGGGGTTTTTGCTTTGTAGGTAGGGGTTTTCCTTCGTTCCGTTCTTCAGTTGTACTTCGTTTTATTGGTTTATAAATTTGCAGGGATTCCTTAAAAAAAAAAAGGTCTGATCAAACTAAAAAATGACACAATTAGTGTCATTTTGGCCAATTAGAATCCTTATGGATAAATGAGCCTATTAACCTACTAGGGTCTAATCAAATTAATTATGACCCATTTATTGTCATTTTGATCCAAATGACTTGATTACAACTAAATAGGCCCAATATACCCAATGAGTGCACATGGACCATTTATTCTTGATATCATTGCTATGGTTGATTCTGGTGCAAATTTAAAGTGCATAAAGGAAGGACTTGTACCATCAAAATATTTTTCTAAAACAAAAGAAGCTTTGAATACTGCAGATAATACCAATTTAAAAGTAAAATTTAAATTATCTGATTCGGTTATCTGCAATAAAGGAATTTGTTTTCAAATGCCTTTTATGATGGTTAAAAACCTATCGCATAAAATTATACTGGGAAATCCATTTCTACATATGTTATACCCTATTCAGCGAATAGATGAAAAAGGAATTCTCAGTAATTTTTCTGGAAATGAAGTTCTTTTTGAGTTTATTACAACTCCCCAATATCATGAAATTGATATTGTAAAAAATCATTTACAATCCAAAGAATTATTTCTCAATTCTTTACTTCATGATGTTAAATTTCAAAAACTTGAAGAAGCTTTACTTAATCCAAAGCTTCAAGAAAAAATTCTTCTTTTGCAAAAGGAAATTGAAACTGAAATATGTGCTGATGTTCCTAATGCCTTTTGGGAACGTAAGAAACATATTGTTTCATTACCATATGAACCTGATTTTAAGGAATCTCAAATTCCTACAAAGGCTAGGCCTATTGCAATGAGTCCAGAATATCTGGAATTATGTAAGAAAGGAATTCAAGATCTTCTTAATAAGAAGTTAATCCGTCCATCTTTTAGCCCTTGGAGTTGTCCAGCTTTTTATGTCAATAATCAAGCTGAACAAGAACGAGGTGTTCCAAGACTTGTGATTAATTATAAGACTTTAAATAAGGTACTTCAATGGATAAGATATCGAATTCCTAATAAAAAGGATTTATTAAACCGATTATATTCGACTAATATAATGTCAAAATTTGACATGAAATCTGGATATTGGCAAATTCAAATTGCTGAACCGGATAAATATAAAACAACATTTACAGTTCCATTTGGTCACTATGAGTGGAATGTAATGCCGTTTGAACTTAAAATGCCCCCTCTGAATATCAGAGGATTATGAATGAAATTTTTAGTCTATATACAGAATTTATAATTGTGTATATTGATGATGTTTTAATTTTCAGCCAAAATATTGAACAACATTTTAAACATTTAAGAATTTTTATAAATGTTGTTAAAAAGCCGGATTGGTTATTTCTGCTAAAAAAGTTAAACTTTTTCAAACAGGAATTAGATTTCTTGGTCATAATATTAAAAATGGATCTATTATTCCAATTGATAGAGCCATTATTTTTGGAGAAAAATTTCCTGATGAGATTAAAGACAAAAATCAATTACAACGATTTCTCGGATGTCTAAATTATATTTCAGAATTCTGTGAAAAATTAGCTTATATAGCTAAACCTTTATATGATCGATTAAGGAAAAATCCACCTGCTTGGACTAAAGAGCATACTCTAGCAGTTCAACAGATTAAGCACTTAATCAAGGAAATTCCTTGTTTAGACTTACCCAATCCAAATGCATTCAAAATTGTTGAAACTGATGCATCTGATATTGGATATGGTGGAATACTTAAACAACGCCTAAAAGGCAAAGAACAATTAGTTCGATACACCTCTGGCTTATGGAGAGGTCCTAGAGTAAATTACTCAACCATGAAAAAAGAAATTCTTATTATAGTACTAACAGTATAGAAATTTGAATCTGATTTAATTAATCAGAAATTCCTTATTAGGGTAGATTGTAAATCTGCTAAGGAAATTTTATTCAAAGATGTTAAAAACATTGTCTCTAAGCAAATTTTTGCTCGATGGCAAGCGATTATGTCTATATCTGACTTCGAAATTGAGTATATAAAAGGGGAATCTAATCATTTACCTGATTTCCTTACTCGTGAATTTTTACAGGGTAAAAATGTCTAAATGGTGGATTAAATTTAATTTCTTCGAAAACTCTGTGTTTTCAATCAGAGGGTTAATAGACCTTGAACCTCCGAAACCGCCAAAGCCTGATGTTCGAGATATCTTCAAAGAAATTACTTCTAGGATTTCTAAAGAAGATTTAGCTCAATTTATGGCTTTATTACAGCAAAGTGAAGTTGGCCCTGCACATGCCGATTCAGCATCCTCACACATGTCTGAAGATGGAGCAGGCGATGATCTAATGCAAGACTCACAAGATCCATTTGACATTTAATATGGATCCTTATGCAGCTAGATTTCGTCGAGAGCTCAAAGCCATAAAGGAATCACTCTCTCTCGAGTAGATTCATCTATTGATCATTATAATCAAATTGTAGAGCATCAAATTGCAGTCGACAACTACAATTGGAGGGATGATGTTCAACATCTTCGATGGTTGGTATGTTATCGCGCTCTGTTAAAATATCAACAGAAGAATCTTTTCTCTCAAGCTTTCTAGAAGCAGACGTCATGAATGACGTATTTGATCATCTAGATTATTATCGACAATGGCGGGTCCCAATTCTATCATGCAGTTCTATAATTGAAGATAATGATGGGTCCCCTTACTTTTTGTTGGTTTATTTTTAGCCGTTCCTTTATGTAGTGGTAAATAGTGGTAGACCCCACTATTACTTTTTTTCTGTATTTATAGTCGCTTAGTTTTCATTTCTTAGCACGCTCAATTTTAGTTTGTAACCTTACGCTTCATCTTCTTTTGTATCTCTCTCTGTAATATACAACTTCCATAAATAAGAGTTTTAAACTTTTGTAAATTCATCTAATTTATCTTTCTTCGACTTTGTTGGGACTTCCGCCTCATCGTTCCCTTGAGCCGGTCAAATCTGCGATTCTTAAACCCAACGCTCCTGTAGCAATGCAGGAGCATCCCACATCGGTGAGGCTACGGGGATTCGTCTTCCTTATAAGGAAGTGGGGATCTTACTCCTACCAGTGACGCGTTTTAAAGCCGTGAGGGGTTGTTGCCGAGAGGGGCAGCCCAAAGCGGACAATATCATGTGGACGGTTCCCTAGTATCCGTCCAACAGACTTCGATCCTGCTTCTATACAAACCCATTTGTTGGCAACAATCACCAAGAGCTTTTTTACCATAGTATTTTTCATTTTGAATTTGTTTTTGCAATTTTAACTCATTGCAAAGAGTAATACCTTCTTTTACAACCTCAGAAGATAAATCTCCATAGGTTAAGGTATCATATGGAAATTTTCCATTATTCATAGTTTTAAGACAATTTTTAATCCGTTCAGCAAAGAAATATGGAAGTCCAGAAAGAAATTTTTCTTTCCAAAATTCCTGATGTTCATCATTTCTTTGATAGATTTTTGAGAAAAAAGTATCTTTATACCATTTAAAATGGGATAAAGTTGGACATCTTAAATTAATTAATTGTTCTTGAATTTTATCTGCATACAAATTATTCTTTCCATTAAAATGGACAAGAATTGTATATAACAATGTATTAACTGTGTCTGGAACAGGTTCAGATTGATTAGGATTACTTTTAACTGCCGACATAATAGCATGTCTTGTTTCTGCAGGTAAATAGTTATCCCACCAGCCTTAGCTGCCCAGAAAATCCATTTACTAACATTTATGTTATCACTGGATCTTTATTATCATTAGCTGCCTAAGCTGTAGCTGCCATTAGCATATGATGTATCAATTTATGGATTTGGTATTCACTTAAATCCATCTAAATTCCATTCATAAATGGATTGTCCATCAAACTGTTGGCTTGAAGGAAATTCTTCCTCATGTAAAAGATCAACAGGAGATGGCCTGTGATGATTTATATCAAAAGGTAATTTTTTATCATCAATTGTTAATTTTTCAAGCTGAGTTATTAACTCATCAGTCGAAGGTTCCTCTTCTTCTAAAAAAATCAT